TACATACATACATACATACATACATACATATATATATATATATATATATATATATATATATATCATAAGTGTTATATGACATAACACTTAATCATTTCCTTGGCTCAGCTGATAAGGGAGGACAGCTTGTGGCTTAGAGGCTAATACAACTGCCTAACATGTAAAAGCAGCCCAGGTTCGAATCCCAGTAAGAGTATGGCTAGCTGATGAGAGCTAAATAGCTTGAAATAGATCTATACTAGTCTCCCTTTATTTATTTATCAGCAAAATGCAAAACACACACACCTTGATGGGCTGTTTACTGGTAATCTGAAAAGTTGAGTGAATTCACTGTTTCAATTCTTCTCTCTCAATATTACCTTTATTTTACAATGTCCTTAGACCAACAGGAGGCCTTTTTGTCTCTGGGGTATATTCTGAAGAAACTGCGCGGGCCCCATTCACATTAAAAAAATGGATTTTCTTACACATTACAGAGGATTAGATTAGATGATCCCTGAGATTCTTCCCAGCTCTACAGTTCTAAACAGGATGTTGAATGGTTCATAGAGGAAAAATGGAGTTAGATGGTTATGATTGAATGGCAGAGGTTCCAAGGTCCATTTCTTGGAATTAAGACTCCCAAGGCTTTGGATTTGAACTGTGCTGAGCTGGCTTCCAATGTCCTGGCTAACGTCCTGATCTTTTCCCATCTTTTCTCTTTAGCTTCAGCATCAGATAGTGCAGAACCTTCCTCGGAAGAACAAGGCAAATCATTTGACAAACCCAAACAGAAAAAAACTCGTTGTTTTATGTGCAGAAAGAAGGTTGGTCTTACTGGTAAGTTCTCTTGGATTCAATCATTTGGAAGTTTGAATTGAACATTGAGTTCTAAAACTGGGATGATAATTCACAGAATAGAATAGATGATTGATCTATTGATCTATGATCATGATTTATCGCATAGTTTTTATGTACAATGAGAGCTTATGAACCAATGACAAATTCCTTGTGTGTCCAGTCACACTTGGCCAATAAAGAACTGAACTCTACTCTACTCTACTCTACTCTACTCTACTCTACTCTACTCTACTCTACTCTACTCTACTCTACTCTACATTCTATTCTATTCCTTCTCTTATTCTATTCTATTCTTTCTCTTATTCTATTCTACTCTACTACTACTCTATATTCTATTCCTTCTCCTATTCTATTCCTTTTCTTATTCTATTCTACTCTACTTCTACTTTACATTCTATTCTATTCTATTCTTCACATAATAATTGATTGATTAGTGAATAGGCTGTATCAGAATAAAAACCGCAAAATGTACAACAATAATAAAAGTATATATTAGAAAATATAGTAAATGATGTAACTAAAATCATTTTTTTCAACATGTTACTCCTAAATTTACCCCACTCAGATCTCTGTATGTCGTTCTCAATTATGCCCTTTGGTTCAGATAAAAGGTATTATATGTAATTTGGGGCTTCTGACCACACATGAAATACTTTTTAATGTAAAGGATCCCATTAGACCATACGTCTAATCTGTGATCAAGATATTGATCTCTCTTTCTTATACAGTAACATTTCAATAATGCATTGTCTTAGGTCCTCTTATCTCTGGAGCTCCATAAATACAATCATGTCCATCGCAAGGGTCTTGGTTAAATATTATCCATTAAATATTATCCATTGTGTCCAGCACAATTGTGTCCACATACTATCTGCCACTTTTATAGCTTTGGAGTTCCCTGGAATAAGAAGAGGGCATATTTTAAATAAGAAGTTTTTGGGAGAAGCAGGCTTAGTGTCAGGGGTCCAAGTAACACCCCTAACGAAAGAAGATTCTGAGGCTTGAGGTTCCTCAAAATTCCATTTTATTAAAGATGTCATATTGGCACATCTGGGAAAACCCGAATCTGAAAGTACCCAGGTTTTCCCCACCCAAAAAAAAGTTGAAGTCCCTGCCCAGCACCCACATGCCCATTACATGGCCCAATCAGGCACCATCCCAACTGGAGTGGCCTCCCAGTCACACCACTCCAGGTGCAGGGCAAGATGTCCTTGATTCTCTGAGAAAGGAATGTTATTTTGACTAAACCCCCACATACTCCATACAATCCCCCCTCCACTTAACTATAACACCAAAGGTATATGTTAAATGACAGAGGCTTCTGGCTAACATTTCATCCTTAAGGGCACAAGACTACCTTAAGCACAAAGCCAGCTGGGTAATCTAGGTTGGGCCAGTCACTTTCTCAAGGCCTAGGAAGGAGGCAGTGGCAAGCTACGGGTAGTCCTCGACTTACAACCAGGGGTGGGTTGCTCCCAGTGGTGGGTTTCAAAAATTGTTCGAACTTACTCTGTGGGTGTGACCTCCTTTGTGGGAGTGGCTTGCTGCCCATGTGACCGGATGGGAATGGCTTGCCGCCCATGTGACCGGATATGAAGATACCGACGACACTTGTCAGAACCACCTTAAATTACCTCACACACAGCACTGGCATGCATAAGAATAGGATGTAAACTTGTTTTTTAAAAGGCATCTTTGGTTTGCGTTAAAACAACTTCAACACACGCAATGTTCTGATTGCACCACAAACGCAGTAGTCATCCTTACCTTTCACAGAGGCCCTGAGTTTTATAAATAGGAGCATGATAGTGTAGAATAATCATATCCAAGGACCAGGGGTGGGTTTCAAAAAAATTTTGGAACCTCTTCTGTAGGTGTGGCCTGCTTTCCGGGTCCACTGGTGGAACCTCTTCTAACCGGTTCGGTAGATTTGACGAACCGGTTCTACCGAATAGGTGCGAACTGGTAGGAACCCACCTCTGGTTGCTCCCGGCACCACTGCCGGTTTGGCGCGCAAAAAATTGGTGCAGTGGTTAGAGTGCAGTACTGCAGGCTACTTCTGCTGACTGCAATTTGGCAGGTTGAATCAAGGTTGACGCAGCCTTCCAACTTTCCAAGGTGGGTAAAATGAGGACCCAGATTGTTGGGGGCAATAAGCTGACTCTGTAAACCGCTTGGAGAGGGCTATGAAGCACTCACTGTGAAGCAGTATATACGGTAAGTCTAAGGGCTATTGCTATTTCATCTTTTGTTCTTTCTTTCCAGGGTTTGAATGCCGGTGTGGAAACGTTTACTGCGCTGCGCACCGTTACTCAGATGTCCACAGTTGCTCTTACAATTACAAAGCTGACGCAGCTGAGAAGATCAGAAAAGAGAATCCTGTAGTTGTTGGGGAAAAGATTCAGAAGATTTGAACTGCTCCTGTAGCTGGAATATTAAAATGTTTGACCATCTGCAGATGAAAATTGACTTGAGCTTTTTCCTCCCCCTTTCACAAGCCCCGACACACACAAGTTCTTTCATTTTTCTGGCCCATCCCTGGTAGACCTCAAGAGGACAAGTGTCTCAAATCATGCATGTCATGCAGAATCATAGAATCCCCCCCCCACACACACACACACTTCTTTTAGCACACAACAAACCTTTCCTTTGTTTTTAGTTCCTACAGATGAAGACATAAACTCTACCCAACCGATCCACTAGGAAGGTGGGCCTTTGGAAACTGATGGATACCATGGCTATAAAAGTATTATCATCATTTTTTTTAAAAAAAAAAATTGAGTGCAGAGGGCTTTTTCAAAGTTACGTTGGAGGGCATCCGTGCTTTTCCCACTTCTCATATTAAATGTGCATGCATTAACCCAAGACACTTCATTTTTCATTTTGTATATAGCTTTCCTTTCTCTCTCTCTCTCTCTCTTTCTCTCTCTCTCCCTCCCTCTCTCTCTCCCTCCCTCTCTGTCTCTCTCTCTCTCTCTCTCTCTCTCTCTCTCTGTCTGTCTCTCTCTCTCTGTGTCTCTCTCTGCAGCACAATTTCCCTCCTCTATTTCCCCCCCTCTTTGGTAATGCCTTGTATGGCACAACTAGCAATCAATAACTGAATGTATTTAATCATTAAGGCTGCTTGGTTTCCCCTCCCCCTTTAACAAAAATTTATACACACGTTATCATAATAGCTTGTTTGCACCCGCTATCTATTTATGTATGCATCGTTCGTTTTCAGAGCGTGTCAAGAGAGTGCTGAGGTTTTAAAGGCGTGTGTGACTTTTTTGCTCTTCGAGATTCTTTTCCACGTTGTTGGTCGTTTTTGTTTTTTTCCCTTTCCCCTTCTTTGGTTTTTGTTTTTATTATTTTATTTTTCTTCGTTTTTCTCCGGCGTGCATGTTGAGAGTTTGCCTGCTTGCAGATCTTCTCGGGAATTGTGTGCTAATGGGTTCTTTTAACGTGCACCAATACAAAGAATGAAGAACTTTTTAAGTGTATTGTATTTATGTTCACCCACGTCTTTAACTTTGATTAAAATAAAATTTTTAAAAATTTGGGACGGAGGAGAGGCGGTTGGTGCTTTTTTGGGGGTGTTGCTGGTTTTATTCTTTTGGTTTTTTTGTGAGAAGTTAAAAGAGGTGCATGTATCCATTTGGGAAAAGGGTGTGATAAGGAGAAATGGGATGCAGGTCATCGCACTCTAGAAAAAGCAAATTCGATTTGATTGATAATGTCGGTATTGATTGAACCCACCCTGAAGAGAGCCTATTTAAATATTGGTGAGTCTGGGTTCAGATGACAGAAAGACACCGGTTAACCTACAACGGTTTTCAGCCGTTTAACAAGATGGGTTGACTTCTTTTTTATCAAGAGAAGAACCGAAAAAGAGGAATTTAGAATGGATATGATAACCTGCCCTCCCCTTGGAAACCAATAGACTCTCACCATGTTAAAAACTTACACAGGTGGTCCTCGATTTAACAACTTTTCGTTTAGTGGCCAGAGTTACAATGGCATGGAAAAAAGTGACTTGTGATCCTTTTTTTTTTAGTCTTACGACCATTGTAGCATCCCCGTGGTCACACAATCAAAATTCGGACACATGGCAACTGGTTCGTCTTTATGACAGTGGCTGCCTCCTAGTCGTGCAATAACTTTTTGCGACCTTCTAAGCAAAGTCAACAAGGAACTCCGATGCCCTTAAGCGTGTTGCTAACAATTGCGATGACTCACTTAACAACTGTGGCAAGCAAGGTGGTAAAATGGGACAAAGGTCAGCCATCTCTCTCAGCCGCAAAAATGTGGTGTTTGATTGTGGTAAGTCAAGAACTACCCATAGGTAGAAACAATGTGGTTAATAGGAAGGACTACAGCATTGGACAGAGTTTGGACAGCCCTTCATGGTATTGGACCTGGGTACTTGAGAGACCGCCTACTGCCAATTACCTCCACTAGACCAATTAGATCCCACAGATTAGGCCTCCTCCNATAGGGTTTCCTGCCTGGGCAGGGGGTTGGACTGGAAGACCTCCAAGGTCCCTTCCAACTCTGCTATTGTATTGTATTACTGTATCACTCAGCTGGAATGAAGCAGCCTCTAGAAAGAATGGGTTGAATCTTGTTTTATTAGCCATCATTCAGTCCATTACACTACATTCAGTTTTGGTCGCCACAATGTCAAAAAGATGTGGAGACTCTAGAAAGAGGACAGAGAAGAGCTTTTCAGAAAGGTGGGACTGGAGGCTAAAACATATGAAGAATGGTTGCAGGAACTGGGTATGTCTAGTTTGATGAAAAGGACTACGGAGACATGATAACAATCTTCCAATATCTTAAGGGCTGCCCCAAAGAAGAGGGAGTCAAGCTATTCTCCAAAGCACCTGAGGGTAGAACAAGAAGCAATGGGTGGAAACTAGTCAAGGAGAGAAGCAATTTTTGTACTGTAGCATTACAAAAAGTTAAGTTCCTTCAACAAATTTTATTGACAGTTTGAAAGGGAGGGAAGGATTTATTGTTAAAGTTCTATGCTGCCCATCTCACTAATCTAGCAGCTCTGGGCTGGATTATTTTATTTTTTTTATTTTTATTTTTATTTATTTCATTTAGTTTGTCAAACATGTACAAGATAATATGTGCAAGTATAAAGGTGAACATGGACAAAGGAAATGAGTACAAAAAAATGGGGACAGTGGGACAGGGATGGTAGGCACACTGGTGTGCTTATGCATGCCCTCTTTTCGGACCTCTTAGGAATGGGGTAAGAACCACAGTAGACAGTTTTGAGTTTGAAGCTGTGAAGGTTTGAGGCTGTAACAATGGAGTCAGGTAGAGCATTCCAGGCGTTGATCTCCCTGTTGCTGAAGTCGTATTTTCTGCAATTGAGTTTGGAGAGATTTACCTAGAGTTTGTATCGATTGTTTGCCCGTGTATTATTGAGGTTGAAGCTGAAGGAATCATTGTCGATTACCTCCCAAAGACCCATTAGATCCCACAGACTAGGCCTCCTCCGAATTCCATCTGCCGGCCAATGCCGACTGTCAACNAGATGTCTGGACTTCAACTCCCAGAATTCCCCAGCCAGCGAATTCTGGGAGTTGAAGTCCGGACATCTTCAAGTTGCCAAGGTTGAGAAACACTGGTATAGGGTTTCCTGAGAAATGGAACTGCAGGTCTCCCGAGGAGGGAGTTGGACTAGAAGATCTCCAAGGTTCCCCCCCAACTCTGTTATTCTGTTTAACTTGAAGATCTCAGCTGAATGGATACCAATTTATAAATTCTCATTTCAGTCCTGCTACTTGGACAAATATCCAAAGACGAGAAGATTGCTTGGATATCTAGACCAGTGTTTCTCAACTTTGGCAAATTTAAGATGGACTTCAGCTCCCAGAATTCCACAGCCAGCACCTACAACATACACAGATACGGTGGATCTTCAATCACACCATGATTGAGGGCAACCTTGTTAGATGATCTAACTTCTTTATTTTATATTTTTCTCTCTATTCTAGGGTGGGTCTTGTTTAGCACAGTTTGGAAGGAGGGGAGGGGGAGGAGGAGGAAAAGAAGAAGGAGAAGGAGAAGGAGAAGGAGGAGAAGAAGAAGAAGAAGAAGAAGAAGAAGAAGAAGAAGAAGAAAGAAAGTAGTAGTAGTAGTAGTAGTAGTAGTAGTAGTAGTAGTAGTAGTAGTAGTAGTAGTAGTAGTAGTAGTAGTAGTCCTTCACACACACACACACACACACAGGATCAGGTCTTATTTTCAGGAAAACACAGTATCTATCCTTTTACTTATTTTTATTATTAGATGTTAATTGCAGTTCCTACATACAATTACACTTTAGTTCCACCTTCCTTACATAGCTGATACACCTACGTGCAATTCAACGCCTACACATACATCGCTGGGGCTTAATTCAACAGGAGGCTTTCTTGACTACAAACGATGACAGCCGATGGACTGAGTGGGTGGATTGTACATACGAACTTTGTGGTGCACAAAGCACATCCGATGACAGAGGCCCATGGAAGGTGTTGACCCAAATACTCAAGGTGGTGAACACAACAGGTTTCTCCTGTTGGTTTATGTACAACACACACACAAAATGCAGGAGAAGCTCCAATTACACCCCTGGTTGACTTAGATGCCACAGCGTCCCATTGGCTGGTTTTGGGGTTGACAGGCCAAGGATCTGTGCATATTTGTTTTGGATAAATGCTTTATTTCATTAGTTCTTAACATTGCTTTAAAACAAAAAAAAATGAAATGAAACAAAATGAAATAAATAATTAAA